TTTGATCTGCTTTCTCATGTTGATCTACAATTTTTTTTCTCCATATCACCCTCCTATCTCAGAAATGCAAAGCTTCCAGAGAAATGAGGTGTCCCTCTTTGGAAAGACCTGCCCCTTCACTCTGAGATAGTCCTCTTAATGTTGTGATAATCACAGAATTTGAGACCTAGAAGAGACCTCAGACACCATCTATTAGGACCAATGTCTGACCAAAACCCCCTTCTGCAATATTCCCAACAATCTGTCATCCAGCCTTTGCTTAAATATTTCCAAAATGAGGAACACTCTATCTCCCAAGGAAATCTATCCTACTTTTGGAGAATGATTAGAGCCCCCCAAAACAAATCAATATCAACTATAGAATTCCAATGTCTATCGATACTTTGTGAAGATTAGAAACTGGGGACTAGTAGAAGAGTCCCAGTAGACTAGTAGTTAAGACAACTGGGTTTTAGTGCCACCTATTCTACTCCTGTCTTTGCCATTGTGACTTTGGACAAGTCATTTTCCCTCTCTAGGCCTCAGTTTTTTCATCTGTAAAATATAGAGGTCCAACTACATAATCTCTAATATCCCTTTCAGTTGTAACATTCTTTGATTCTACAAAATATATCACCTCTTTTTGCAGTCCTATCCTTGGCTTATCAAAACACATGCCCTTGGTCACAAATATCCTACTGAGGCAAACCAAAATTAGTTAAAACACTGAGCGTATGAAATTATCTAGTCCAGTGGTATCAAACTCAAATAAAAATGGAGGACACTAGGCTGTACTTAACAATCCTCAACGAGGGCATAGTGACATTTTTTTTTAAATGTGGTTTAAGTTCGTTGTATTTTTGTTTATTTTGTGAAATACTTCCCAATTATATTTTAATCTGGTTCAGGAGTGGTGTAGGTGGCAAAAAGCCTTGAAGGCATTTGACACCTCTCAACTAGTCCTCCAACCCCTTCTCTTTAGAGAAAGGAAACTAAGGAAGTCTCAGAGAGGTTAAATTATCTGTCCAAGGTCATACGGGATACAGTGGGTAAATGATCTAGGATTTAAATCTAGATTCTCCGACTTTACATCTTATGCTTTCTCCACTACAACATACTTCCTCTTCACATTAAGTATAGGGAAATTATATATTAAGTTAAACTAGTATATACAAACATATACACACATACATATATATGTATGTATATTTTGTTGTTTAGTCATTTTCATTCCTATCTGACTCTCCATGACCCCATTTGAGGTTTTCTTGGCAAAGATACTGGAGTAGTTTGCCATTTCCTTCTCTAGCTCATTTTACAGATGAGGAAACTGAGGTGAACAGGGTGAAGTGACTTGCCCAGGATCACACAGTTAGTAAGTATTTGAGGTCAGATTTGAACTCAGAATGATGAATCTTCCTGACTCCAGGTCTGGCACTCTATCCATTGTGCCACCTAGTTGCCCATGTATGTATGTATGTATGTATGTATGTATGTATGTATGTATGTATGTATGCATATCTTCATATGTTATAGATATGTATATATATGTAGTGTATACACACATACATTTGAGGAAACTTCTGCCAATGTAGTCCCACACCTCGTCCATCACTCATTTAGCCCTTCTTTTTTGGCTAGGCAATGGGGTTAAATGACTTGCCCAGGGTCACACAGCTAGTAAGTGTCAAGTGTCTGAGGTCAGCTTTGAACTCAGGTCCTCCTGACTCCAGCACTACCTATCCACTGTGCCACCTAGCTGCCCCTACTCATTTAATCTTAGAGAGTTTCCTGGAAGCCTGAGAGGTCCAATAAGTTGTCCAGGGTAACCCAGCCAGTATGACTTACATGTAGAGCCAGAGCTCATATTTTCCTAGTTCTGAGGCTGGCGCTTCATCACAATAAGCTGCCTTCACAAGCAAACAGAATTCTATCTTAGAAAGCCCCCACACAGCATTTCAAGAATAGATGGAGTTTGGAGAAGTGCCAAGGTTGACAATAAAACATTTTTTCATTTCTCATTTCTGGGGTTCTTTGAATGAAAAAAATGTCAAGGGTATTTGGTTGCCTAGGAGCTAAAGAATAGAACAAGTGAGAAATACCCTAATTTATTCATTCAATCAGAATGCTCATAAATAATAACTTATTAGATAACCTGTGTATTTATCCAAGTCACTCAAGTCTGGATTGTGTTTTGTTTTAGGGAGTCGAATAAAATCCTCTTTGCCAGCAATACAAAAGTACATAAGAAACATTTTAGAGACCTTAAAATCAAGACATATCACCACATTTTTTGGTCTCTGTTAACAAAAGGCAGAAGCCATCTCTCTTGGTTTGTTACCATATCAAAGAAGGCTCTAAATTTTACAGAGATTTAGAAATACAATGTTTCCATGGCAGCAGATGCAGAGAAACCTCAGAAGAAGTTGTTGACTTGAAGTGGGCTTAGAGAACGAATTTTCCCTTTTGACGTTTAGAAACATTTCATTTCCCCTTATTAGGGTGCTTGGGAAATCTCTTCAAACGAGCACAGATGAAACTCTTTGAAAGAAAAGGATTTAGAAACTAGACTATAACCATCACAACATGGTCAATTTCAAAATTTCCTGTCCTAATAAAAAGTGACGTCAAGATATACGCAGGGAGGAATCGTTTTTGACTGTTCAAGCAATACTGTTCCAATATGTTTAAAATTTAAACCTGGTTTAACAAAACCTAACATGAAGTGAAATAATTGCTCAATTTCAATGCAAGGGATTTTTGTAACTATTTCACGAATGACGCTGATGTTAATTTCCAAGAATCAGAAACTGAAAATCAGACCATGAAACCAACCTATTTAGTTTCACCGACAAAAAGCAAACCAGGGGCATAAAGGATGGAAAAAATTAAATTTCCATTTTAGAAGCAACACCAGAAAGTCCAATTGAAAATTCTATTAAGTTTCATGAATAATGACAGGTAAGAAGGGTGACTATGAAAATGAACAATGGTAAGGAGACTTGAAACCTCATCAGCTTTAGGAACCAGGGATGTTTAGCCTGCCTCTTTCTACCTTCTTCCCAGGTTATCTCTGGTGTAGTAGAGAGATCATTTGGCTTCCAAGTCAGAGGTCTGGTGTTCAAATCCTGGCCTTTCCCCTTTCTACCTGCATAACCTTAGTTTCTCTAGTTTTGTTATGTGTGAATGAGGCTGTTGGACCAGATGACCTCTGAAGTTCCTTCTGTCTCTAATGCTATGATCTTATAAAGACTTGGGATGGGGCAAGGGGGGAGAGGGGCTAGCCTTGACAACAGTCTTTTAATATGTCAAGGGATATTATTCCCTAAGAGAGGAAAAGTGAAAGAAATCAAAGAATCCTGATGAGGATATAGAGAGAGAGACTGAAAAGTTGTTATGATCCTTTCTGCGCCAAAATTAATCTAAATGTAAGTAGTTATTAAGCGCATTTTGTTCCAAAACTATCATAAATTTGGACCTTGAAGTGACTGTTAGAGATCATCTAGTCCAACCTCCTTATTTACAGATGAAAAAACTGAGGCCTAGAAAGCTTAAGTGATTTGCCCGGAGTGATTGTTCTTCCTGGCCCCATTGGGGGTTTTCTTGGCAAATACTAGAGTGGTTTGCCATTTCCTTCTCTGGCTCATTTTACAGATGAGGAAACTGAGGCAAAGTGGGCTAAGTAAGTTTCTGAGGCTGGATTTGAACTCAGGTCTTCCCGACTCCGGGCCTGGCATCGTAACCACTGTATCACCTGGCAGAGCCAGGTTTGAGACCAGATCCTATGACTCCGAGTTCAGTACTCTTTTTATGGCATCATGCTGTTCCTCCAACAGTATTGATTACATTGATGTTCAATGTTAACTTTTAAATGAAACATTTAATTAAAAAAATAAAGGACTGTCATTTGGAAGAGATATTAAATTTATCCTAATTAGCCTCTGTACTCCCCCAGGTACAGGAAAGCAGACTCAATATAAGGAAGAATGTTCTGAGTGACTCCAATAATAATAATTGTTGTTTTTGTTCAGTTGTTGTGTCTGACTGTGTGTGACCTCATTTGGAGTTTTCTTGGCAAAGATACTGGAGTGGTTCGCCATTTCCTTCTCCAGCTCACTTTACAGATGAGAAAAGGCGAACAGGGTGAAGTGACTTGCCCAGGGTCACATAGCTACTAAGTGTCTGAGGCCAGATTTCAACTCAGGAATATGAGTCTTCCTGACTCCAGGCCTGGCACTCTATCCACTGTACCACCTAGCTGCCATAACAATAATAATAGCTAACATTTATATAGTACCTACTATGTGCAAGGCATTGTGCTAAGTACTTTACAAATATTAAACTATGTGATCCTCACAATAACTCTGGAAAGTACGTGCTAATATTGCTCTCATTTTATATTTGAGGAAATTGAGGCAAACAGGTTAAGTGACTTACCCAAAGCCACACAGCCAGTAAGTGTTTGAGGCTGGATTTGAACTCAGGTGTTCCTGACTCCAGGCCCAGGGTCTTATCCATTGAGCCACCTAGCTGCCTCCAATAGAGCAGGCTATTTCATAAGGCAATCAGCTCTGTAACACTGGAGATGTTTGAGTATAGGTTGGAGGTCTATCTGGTTGTCATGAATGCTATGGAGAAAATTCAATGCTAGATTTTGAATCAGAGGTCTTAGGTTCAAATCCTGCCTCTGACACTTCCTGGATGATAAGGAAAAAGTTGCTTACCTTTCTAGGTTTTGTTTCTTCATCTAGAAAATAAGGGGGTTAGATTAAATTCTTTTCAGCTAGATGATCCCGAAGGTCCCTACTAAGTTGACTCCAGGATTCTATGAGAAATAAATTCACTTACGACTGATCACGCAATGTGAAGTCATAACTCAACACAATCAGTCAATTCAATGGCGACTATGTCATGAACTCAGAAATCAGAGGCTGTGCTCCTAATGTGCAGGGATCATTTGTCTTGTGTTTTGAATATACTGGGGAACGTCTTTGTTTCAAAATATAGAAAAAATGTCTTACCCGCAACAGACATGCAACCCAAAGGTGCAATGAGAGTAATGGGTGCCAATCCATAGGCTGCAAAGTTTCCTGTCTCCCCAATTGCCATCAGGAGGCTCCCGCACCACCACAAGATACTTCGGAAGTAGGGCTTTTGGCTTCCTTGATGTGCCGATTTAAGGTGAGAATATTTCTGGATAGAATTAGGAGTATAAATAAAAACATTTTTCACAAAGAGAAAGCATCTTACATTAATTTTTAAAAGGTGACTTAGGTGCAGATTATGAAAAAAAGGGGCTTTACATGTTTCCTATTTCTTGAATGATAACAAGTGATATTTCTCAAGCTCTTTAGGGATTTCAGAGTACTTACCTCACAATAGCCCTATGAGATGGGTATCATTTTACAGATGAAGGAACTAAGGCTCTGAGAGGGGATTACTTTCCCATGATCACTCAGTTAGTATGAGAAGTAGGGTTAGAACCCAGGTCTTTCCTGACTCCAAGTCCAGGGCTCTTTCTGCCAAACCCTCAATCCTTCTCAACTAGCAATGGTCTCATGACTGATCTCCCTACCTCAAGTCTCTCCCTACTCCAATCCATTCTCTACATTTCTACCAAAAATGATCTTCCTTAAGAATATATCTATGTCACCACCAAACTCAATAAATTTAAACTCTTTCATTTGACTTTTAAAGTCCTTTTGCAACCCACCTTTCCACCCTCAGTATAAATTACTCCCCTTTCTTCATTCTATGGCCAGGCAGTCAATGGTTAACAAACATATGTTAAGTGCTTACTAGCACTAGGGGTATAAAGAAAGACAAAAATAGTCCCTGCCCTCAAGATGCTTAGATTTGAATGGTGGGGGCAACATGTAAAAAATGCATACTTATATGATACATAGAGTGTAGAAGGAAGGCAAAGTATCTGACAGCTGTATGGGGCAGCTAGGTGGGGCAGTGGATAAGAGCTCCAGAACTGGAGCCAGGAAGACTCATCTTCATGAATCAAATCCAGCCTCAGACACTTAGTAACTATGTGACCCCGGACAAGTCACTTAACCCTGTTGGCCTCAGTGTCCTCATCTGTAAAGTGAGCTGGAGAAGGAAATGGCAGACCACTCCAGTATCTTTGCCAAGAATACCCCAAATGGGGTCATGAAGAGTAAGACGTAACTGAAACAACTCAATGACCACAATCTAGAAGCTGGGAGGATAAAGTGCTACCTGTACAAGGTACTATCCTGAAGCAAGGCAGAGTCCAAGAAGTGGAGGTGAGGAGGGGGAGAAACAGTAGGACCAAATTGACTTTCTCTCTATTCTACACATATGGCCCTCTCACCTACTGTTTCTGTAGCTTGGTAGTGTCCATACCCCATGCCTGGATTGCAGGCACTCCTCATCTATGCCCAAGGGTGTGCTGGAGCCAACTCGAACTGTCTGAGAGCCAGTAGTTAAATTTTCAGTGTGAGCATTTGCATCTTGGAAATTGGCCAGTGCTACAAATCAGGGCTTGATTTGTTGTTTTGTCCAGTGTCTAGGCTTAAGAAAGTGATTGAGAAAATGTTAATAATACAGATGAAACTTAAACGTATGCGGGAGAGCTGGTTGTTAAACATTTACCAGCCCACAGCTGCTGTCATCCCCCTTCCTTCAAGTCCAAGCTCCACCTCCTCCAGGAGGGCTCTCCCTCCCATTCCTAACTATCTTCTAATTAATTGACTCCTATGGATTGTGTGTGTTTGTTCTATAGATACGTATATGTGTAGAAAGGATCACTGGATCATAGATCTAGTGCTGGAAAAGGCATTAGAGACCATCAAGTCCAGCTCCCTCCTTTTATAGATGTGGAACCTGAGACACAGAAGGTTAAGTGACCTGGCCAGCATCACACAGTGAGCAAACATCTGAGCTAGCAGCCGAACCCAAATCTTCCTGACCCCAAGTCTGGTGCCCTATTTACTATGTCATGCTTCCATTACATGTTGTCTCCCTAACTGAATGTAAATTCCTTGTGAGCAGGGATTGTTTTGGACTTTTTCTTTTTTTGGTCTTTGTATACTCTCTGATACAAAATTAGATAATATTTGTAAAGTGCTTAGCACAGTTCCTGGCATATAGTAGGCACTTTGTAAATTCTTGTTCCCTCCCCCTCCTTGCATCCCATAGCAGATGCCTGGTACATAGTAGACACTTGGTAAAATGTTTCTTGATTGACTGAATGGTTCAAGTTCACCCTGGCATATTATGTAAATACATAATAATAATGCTAGAGTTTGGTTCATGGGTCTGTAAAAAAAAAAGTTATTTATATTTAGTTCAAGATTAAGCAAATGAGAACAGTTCATTCTGTGGTCCCAGGAAAGATAGAATGTTGGAGCCAGAAGGAGCCTTAAAGATCCCCCTTTCCAAGCCTCTGTCTTTACAGAGGGGGAAACTGAGGAAATTGACCTCCTGGAGGTCAATTCACTTGCCTAAGATCTCAAAGCAGAAACTGGTTCATGGTTTGATTTAAGTCCCTGCTTTCCCTTCCATAGGTTTCTCTTAAAAAAGAGCGAAAACCATATGGTTCTAGCCTAGTTTTCTTAAGTGTTAAAAAAAAAAAAGGAAAAATGGAAACCCATGTGGTCTGCAAATGAATGCTTTCCAAAGAATCTTCATACTCTGCATAAATTCCCAGAAGGAAGGGCTGGGAAGGAAACTGAAGCAATAAGCTCAAAGGAAATAAAACCATTAAATTACAAGAATATTTTTCATACCTGTATGTTGAGTGAAATGCTGATGACTAAGTTTCCTGTAAGTGCCAGCAATGCACCAAAGAGGTGAGTCTGTAAAACAGTTTAAAAAAAGAATAATCCTTGTAAGAGTTCTCCTGAAAAAGGTTAATCAATTCAGGCTTCAAATATGAATGTAAGTTCTGCTATCATCATTTAGTTAAAATAATAGGATTAACCGAGTCCTACATTGAAGTTTCTAGCTATTTATGTCTCGCTTAATGAAACCATAAAACGAGCTTCCAAGCTCCATTCTAAGTCCTATTCAGGGGTGGGGAACCTGTTGCCTTGAGGCCACATGTGGCCCTTAAGGTCCTCAAGTGCAGCCCTTTGGATTCAGTCTAAGGGCCACACTTGAGGACCTAGAAGGCCACACATGACCTCAAGGCCACAGGTTCCCACCCCTGTCCTATGTTATATAGCTCTGAAGTCCACATCTCCATGCCCACTGTCCCATATGCCTGAGAGGTTTTCTCTCCTCACCTCTGCCTCTGAGAATCCTTAGTTTCCTTCAAGACTTAGCTCATGATGCTTCAGAGAGTTTAAACAACGTGTCTGGGATTATTCCTCAGGGCTGGAGGCTGGGTTTGAGCCCAAGTCTTCCTGACTCCAAGACTAGTGTCCATTCCCATTTGCTCCTGATGAATCATAGAATTCCAGATGCGTAAGGGAGCTCTAAGGCTATCTAGGTCAACCTTTCCATTAACAATCACTTCTATACCATGCCAGAAAAATGGCTTTCTGGCCTCTGCTTTGAAGACTTCCAAGGAAGGGAAAATCTACCACTTCCTAGTTGGATTGTTGTTGTTCAGGAAGTTTTCCCCTCCATTAACTCCAAATTTTGTCTCTATTCAGCTTCCACCCTTTGCTCCTGGTTCTGCCCTTTGGGGCCAGGCAGAACAAATCTAATTCCCCTTCTGTATCATGGCTCTTTAAACACATGAAAACAGTTGTAATTTTCTTATCCTTTTTTTTTTTGGAGGCAATGTGGGTTAAGTTACTTGCCCAGGGTCACACAACTAGTAAGTGTTTGAGGCTCAGGTCCTCCTGACTCCAGGGCAGGATGCTCTATGTACTATACCACCTAGGTATCCCAATAGTTATCATTTTTGAGTAATGAGCTTGGAGTCAGGAAGATCTGAATTCAAATCCAGCCTCTGACACTTGCTGTGTGACCCTGGGCAAGGTACTTAACCTCTGTTTGCTTCAATTTCCTCATCTATAAAATGAGGCTAATAATAGCATCTACCTCTCAGGACTGTTGTGAGGACCAGATGAGATAATAATTGTAAAGCTCTTAGCACAGGGCCTGGTACATAATAAGTGCTATATAAATGTTAGCTATTATTATTGATTATTATTATTCCTACCCCACTTCCCAGTACCAAAATGCATTCCTGCCTCGCTTTGTCTCTTATTGATTCATTTTTATTGGTGTTTCCTTATCTTTTTAAAAACTTTTTTAAAAATGTATTTATTTTATTTTTAACTTATGGAATAAAACAAGCATTTCCAACACAATATAATAAAAAAGATAATTATAAAACTATCTATTCCTTTTAAATACATAATAAAGTTATCATGCAAATTTCTTTTTTTTTCTTCCCTTCCCCTCCTTCCCCTCAACGTGAAGATGGCTACCATTAGACCACCATTAGTGTTTTCTTATCTTGATTGAAGCTCTTTAAAGGCAGCGCCAAGGTCATTTACTCAACTATATCCCCCTATGGTGCTAGAGAAAAAGTAGATGCATAATTGGGATTCTCTGAAGGGAGAAAGGCTTTAAAAAAACTTACATATTACCCACAGAATGAATAGTAGACAACACATTCAGAGGGAGTTATGTATTCTTCATATCTCATAAGGCATATTTGTTGCTGTACCTAATGACTCTATGATAGAAACATTGGGAGACTGAACCAATATTCTACTTGTATAAATGCCCATGGATATAATCTTTCTGTTTTCTCCCTTCTACAGAACATATTTCCTTGAAATATTTAAGAGCTCGTTGAATTTCAAAGGTGGATTATAACTACAGCAAATTCTTTCCACGATACAGCACATCTTGGAAGATTTTAGGGCTTTGTTACATAGATATTATAAATGGGGCAGAGTAGAAAAATGAGGACCCCTTTGTTAGCAGATATATAATACCTACAGTCTTTGTTCAGCTGAAAATTCCTTCTCTTAATGGAGGTTCTTGGCATTAATTTTGACTATTTTATTTCTCACTGGGTACTATTGTATCAGACAACATTGCAGACCAATATATAATTTGCATATGCTATTTGCATGTTTTCTATTTCCAGCCCAGTGCATTTGCCAGAAATATTTTTTTTAAATTAAGGCCTCAGTGATGAAGGGATTTGTATTGAACACAAAGTACATAATATTGAATGGATAATTATGGAGATCTTATATAATTATAAAATTAAAATGATGAGTGGAAAAAATTTCCTTTAAAAATCCCTTAACTCACTCATCAAGCAGTTGAAGTGGTATTAGACAGAGCTGGCCTTACTTGATAGATGCAGGAGGTAGTCAACTCTGTGATTTGAAGATGAAAGAGAATGCCTTGTTGCTCCCTAGCATCTCCATACCCAGATGCTGTGGGACATGATGGTGTTTAGCATTAGAGATTCATTCTTTTGAGTTGAATAGTATCCTGTCCATAGGTCTTCTTTAAAACCACAGATAAACACCCTTGGAGGGGTATGACACATTGAATTAGCAGTCCTGAATAATGAAAGGGCACTGCCCTGTGAGTCAGTCAGGAAATCCTGGGTCTAGCCAGCTCTACTGATGATTCCCTATGAGACCTTGAATCAGCCAATTAGATTCTGTGGGCCTGAGTATTCCCACCTGCAAAATGAGAACATTATGCAGATAATCACAAAGACCTCCTCCAGCCCTGAATTCAAAGTCACCTTAATGTGAATTTGTGTGTCAGGATGCTAGAAGCAAAGCCATAACTCAAGATGAATGCCTATCTAATGGCACCCAAATTTAGAGGGGGCTGATAGCATTTGGAGTATTTCAGTTGTTTGGTTGTTCAGTCGTGCCTGACTTTTAGTGACCCCATTTGGGGTTTTCTTGGCAAGGAAACTGGGGTGGTTTGCCATCTCCTTCTCCAGTTCATTTTACAGATGAAGAAACTGAGGCAAACAGGGTTAAGTGACTTGCCCAGGATCACATAGCTAGTGAGTGTCTGAGGCTGGATTTGAACTCAGGAAGATGAGTCTTCCTTTTCCTGACTTCAGGCCCTGCACTCTCTCCACTGTGCCTGCCCTAGTATTTCAGCTACATAGTAGCTAGTTAGCCCTAAAAGTCACATCCCACAGGATTTTCTCCTCAGCTGGCTCCACCTACTGCCCAATTTACCTTAAAAGGTTGATTTGAGGGTGCGTTTTTTTGCTTTTGCTCCGAGGTATAAAAATGGTCAGTTATGGCTCTAACTGGGGGGGTCTTTATGGGCAGCTAGGTGATGCAGTGGATAGAGTGATTGACCTAGAGTCAGGAAGACTCATCTTCCCTGAGTTCCAATCCAGCCTCAGACACTTACTAGCTGTGTGATCCTGGGCAAGTCACTTAACCCTGCTTGCCTCAGTTCCTCATCTGTAAAATGAGCTGGAGAAGGAAATGGCAAACCATTCCAGTATCTCTGCTAAGAAAACCCCAAATGGAGTCATGAAGAGTCAGGCACAATTGAAACAACTGAACAACACAACAAAGAGGGTCAGTGGCTAGGGGAGAGGAGAAAAGAATGAAAAGGGATAAAGAGGCACAGAGCATGGCCCTGAAGATAATCACTATTTCACTATGTTGTCAGGGGCTGAATATTTCTCTAAATATGTAAGAACTAAAAAAAAAAACACAAAAAAGGAAAGAGTTTCAACAGACCTTGGCTGGGTGGAAATGATAGAGCAACTGTTTCAAATATCTAAGGATTCTTATCAACTAGTGTTGACAGGACGGTATCAAACAACTGGTCTCACTATCTTTTTTTCCACTGAATTACTGAAATGCCTGCTTGGCCTCCTGTATGCTCGACCTCATGACATATGGCTGCAAGCATTACTTCCCCTCTCTCCTCATAGTGGTGCCAAATTGTTTTGTACTTCATAAAAATATATTGGGGTGGGTGGGTAGGGAATCCCTTTTATACTTTTCAGATTCTAAGAGTGATAATCTTAGAATTTACATATGATAACCAAAAAAAGATGGAAAGAATATTCTTGTAGGATTACAGATGTAATTCTTGCAATTTCATCACTTCCCTTATTCAGGGAGCCACTTCAATATTGGTGCATGTGAGGGTAGAGGAGGCTATTTGGGACTTGTAAATCAGTAATATCAAAGGGATACTGTCAAAAGTTGACTTCCTTTTAATGTCACTATGCGACATAACTGATAGCTGGCCAGAAAGTCTTGGGTTCAAATCCTACCTATGAAAATATGCTGCCTGTGTACAGACCCTGGGCAAGTTGATTAACCTCTTGGTACTCTAGGCCAGGGCTTCTTAAACTTTTTCCACCCTGGCAGCTTGGTGTTGCATGGACTGAGGGCATGCACAGTGCAAAGTATACATGCTTTGTGTTCAGAACCAAGACTGCAGTGAAGTTGAGGTACAACACTGGTAAGTGTTGCCAAAAACACCTCAGCTTTGTTACATGTTTCATTTTTCATTAATTTTTGGTCATTGCATGTTCAGGAACATTTTTCTGCTGCCAAATTTTTTGCAGATGAGATCGAGACTCACAGTTTAAGAAGTACTTCAGTCTAGCCAACTTTGCAAAGAAAATACCAGTTTACACTGGTAGAGGAAGTTCTTTACATGGGAGTTCCCTATGATGAGCACATAGTTCTAATCTCTATCCTAATTTTATCACAGCCTCTGCTTACCTATTATCCTCCTACATGATTTACTCTGATTACTAAAAAAACTTTTCCTGATATCCAGCAGCTGACATTTATATAGTACACACACACACACACACACACACAGACACACACACACACACACACACGTAGTATATATATAGTACCATTAT